ACTATCCTCATTTAGATGTATTTTAATGTCAAGAAGTTTCTTTCCTGCTATCCCGTACAGATTTCCTTTTCTTCATGCCTTCTATTAACTTCCAGTTATGTAGTATCATTTTTTCCCTGCAGAAAAATTCTTCCATCTATAATTATACTTTTTAAAGTTATAAACAAGATCACTGATACTACATACAACAGCTGTCTATTTTTTAAAGATGACGGTAAAAAGTTGGTAGTTGCCTTTAGGAAATCATTTATCTGAAATAAAATATTCTTCTAACCAAGTTAGAAATATACTAAGCAGCATCTCAGTCTCAGCTAAGCAGATAGAGAAGATCCATAATCTTATTAAGAGAAATATCACAGAAATAAGTATCAGACAGCCATAAAAAGATAAACTGTTAAGTTGTGTCTCTCTCAGTGTAGGGCTTACTACGCACTTACTGTTGTTCTTGTTTTGTAACTGCTTGAGTTAATAAATCAGTTATCCAATTGTAGGCACAGGGACAGATCCTTACAGGTTTCCTCTGCCTAGATTTGTTTGCTGAAGTGAGATTAGACTAACTTACAAGCTGACAATCCTATCAACCCATCACAGAATTCAAGAAAAGAATTCAGTATAAAGTAACTTAATTTTTTCAGGATGCAATCATACTATTACATCAGTATTTAAGTATTCATTTGCTTTCATTTTCCAGGAGTGTGCTTGGCAGACAGTTTTTTCACTTTGAAGTGTCCAGACTTGGACCAGTGATGTTAATCATCACTGAAATGCCATCACATTCACTGCTGGTTTCTTCTGTGAACGTCAGTTACAAATTCTTAAAAACACACTGAATAACACATGCAAAAGAAATAAGCAAAAGAGGACAGCTAAGTTCAGAGAGTACATAGTCCATTTTACTGGTTATGTATCCTAACCCAGAAAGAAAACAGGTAATAAAATAGGAGCTGTAAAGCTCAGCAACTCAGATAACAATCTTTAAAATATTATTTTCCCTGAGGAAGTGAGGGAAACTTACAGAGAACAGCCAAATTTGGCTTTTTTGATCTATTTCCTCATGCTAGCCTGAATGCGGATTAAATCCCAGCAACATATAGTAAGAAATCAAAATAACCTGGAGAAATGTTTGAAATCCAGCAATCCTAAAACAGCTGTCTCCTTACTGGATAATTCTGTAGCTCCTACAACATGTATGAAATGAATCTGTGTCTAATGGTATCTAACCGTAAATATTTTAATGTTTTGGATATGGTTTCAGTATCCTGAAAACACAGAAAAAAATATCAGTTTCTGTTCTAAATTACGACACTGTCAGCGTAATGATAAGGTAAACTCAGAAGAGCTCCAAACTGTTTCCGGAAAGAACTTCTTTGCGTTCTGAGGCAAAAACAATTCACATTAGATTTTGTACAATATGCAGATGAATTAATGAGGCAGGATCACCCCTTTTACAAAAGAGGAGAAAAAAAAAAAAAGAAGAAGAAGACAAGCCTAGCAGTAAATACAGATTAAGTTTATACAACATACAGACCCAGCGAGTCCTTTCAACTGAGTAGCTGATGTCCCATCCATCCTCAACTGAGAGCAAAGCCTGAGCAGGAAGGCCCCCCCCGCCACACCATTTCCAGAAGGCAAACTCTGAAACCAGACCTGGACATGCATGTCTCCCGACTGAGGCAAGAGATGGGCAGCACTGCCTCTACTCCGTGCCTGGGAGACTGCAGCGGGCACCTCTCCATAGCTCGGACACACGCGTGGTGCGGGAAGGCAGGAGGAGAAAGCAAGCCCATGCACCAGGCTCTGCCTAAGAAACAGCAGCTACAAGTGAGGAATCCTCCACCTCCTCTCCCGAACCGTTCCTGGGTTCCCACAGCAACAGACATTTACAGGCCTACGAAAGCCACCTCTGACCCCAAGACTTTAAAGATACTCTAATTAAAATTCTTAGTTTCAACACGAAACATGTTCAAGCACAGATCCGGACTCTGATCCAGGCTTTACAGATAATATAAATACAGTCATGCTTTTAAAGCTAACTTTCCCTTTAAAAAGCTTGGATTGGAAAATAGAAGCTAAAATATTCTGGTTGAAAGTAAGTGTAGCAAGGAGAGCAAGTCAGCTGCCTAACATGGAGCCTTCTTTCATCTACTCCTTATTACCTTGCTTATTGTTCTGTTAGACATATCACCGTCACAGAGATGTGGCATTAATCACAGAGCACGACTTACCAACTGCCTAGGAGAGTGCAGCTACTCTGACATTATCCCATCAGGCACCCAACAGTCACCTCAGAGATACAGCTGTTTATCTGAAACACATTTAAAGAAACAGGTGCCAGATAAGCATGCTGGGAAAACCTTTTCAAAGCAGTTAGCTTACCCCACCAGTGCCTCACAAGGAAAAATTAAAAAAAAAAAAAAAAGAAATCGCAATGCCTATCATTTTGCACACTAAGTTTGGCCATGAAACGCTGAGGCTTTCAATGGGAGTCTTCCTTGTTGAAGATAATTATGGCTTAGCGTATTACTCTAGTATAAAATACTTCTGTACTGAAAATTAAATATGTTTGGGGCATATCAGTTGTTCTTTATGCTATGAGTTTGATTTTAGTCTAAGATCTGCATTTGAAGTTAATTCAGCCACAGTGCTTGGGTACAGATGATGAAGCACCAAAATTCTTCTGTTCAAAGCATGTCCAGTTCTGGAAGAAATTTAGGGGTCAACCTTTGGCCAGCCAAGAGACTTTAGCAGGCTGTAGAAAACTTCAGCCTGAGATTCAAGAATGCAGTATAGTCAAAAGTACTGTATATTATTCCTACTTTCTACTGTTGTTGTTTTTTGCTTTGGGGAAGGGGTTTGGCATGAAGAACTCATCTAACGTATCTTGTGCCTTTTTTCTTTCACCTATTAGAGGAAATAACAGCATAATATTAATTGTTCAAGGTCGCCATGATATTTAACGTATGAACATTTGCACAGCACCCCCCTAGTATGGTGATAAGCACGGTAAAAATATCTAAACCTTGACTGATGTGTGATGTTTTTCCACAGGAAAGAAGACATAAGGAAAGGACATAAATCAAAGCAGGAAAGTGAGAGCAGGGTGAATACACCAAGAACACTGCGAATCTCCTCCGATCCCATGCACAAACAAGACAATAGCCATGCCATACAGCATTTCAGACCACGGCCCGTCCTTCAGCCTTCACTCCTGAAAGCAGTCCCAGAAAAACTACCCTTGCTCACCCAGCCTCTCGTCCTGCAGCAATATGTGAGTAATATGTGAGCAATATAGACGACTGAGAATAACACACCACACATAAACTGCAGTTTACTTGCAGTAAACTTGCAATTAGGGCACAATAAGCATGACTTCTAACCTTTGTTCCAAGTCAGGGAAAAGGCAAGGGGTTTGCACCCTTATCACAGGTACGGATCCTACATATAGAGCCATGCTGAACGTGACGTGATCCATTTCTGCTGAACCAGCGCTTAGATACAGTTGGCTGTAGAACAGCTTGCAAACCCACTGGCTCTGCATCCCATGGCTGCTGCTTGTGCTGAGCTCAGCAATCACATTTTCATTCTCCTCCGCCCATACCACCCCACACAGCTCTTGTCGCCACTCACCATTTCCGGCACAGAGGAAGGACTTCCAGAGCCAAGTGTGACAGTTGAAAGAGGACCATAAATCCTCATGCTGGTCAAATAAATGCAATCGATACCTCCTTGCTCTCCTGCCCTCAGCTCTCCCTTACTGACTGACAAGCTCAGCACAGAGGTAGACACAGCCAGGACTGGGCACGAGTCTGCAGGCAATGAGAAAAGAAAACTTCTGGCAGCAGAGCTTACTCCCATTCCCCTGCTCCCTCATCTGGTCCTTAACTCATTATTAGTTACTAAAATCGCTAAGAATGTACTACTTGGGCTATGTGAAGGAGTACCATTCCCCTTCGTTCCTATGGCCCTTTTTACGGCATGTATTTACTCTGGGAACAATGATCACCCACACTAGAGAATGAGGAAACCTTAGGCAGCAAGTGGTAACGAAATGCTCGAGCTGATGTCAGGTGATGTCAGGACTACAATGGTGCTGCACATGCCAAAAGCAAAAGTTCAGGCAACATTTTAGAAGATTGTATCTCTGGAAGCTTTAAGGTCACGGATCTTAACCATCTTCAGCATTACATGGAAGCAGAGAAGGAATTACAAAGATTTCAGGGATATCTACAAGCCTAATTTAGGAGGCAAAATTGACACAATAGTATGCCAAGTTCTGTGGCAGACTTATCACTGTACTCCAGTCATTTTTTTTTATACTAGAACTTTGATCCAAATGAGGATCTCATCCCACTTAAAATGACTCCACATATCCTGCTCAACTCTTGCATCAAAGCACTGTGTCACTTGGCAAGAGATGCTCCTTCAAATGTCTGTCTGCAGCTTTCTCTGTGCAGAACTAAGACCTTTGCTTGCTTTTTTGTGGATGCAGAAAAGCTCTGAAGTTCTCCTAAACTGCAGCCCCATGCAGTCTTTAGAAGGAGAATAATAACTTTACTCATGGTTTCTTGCATATCAGTTGCTTGTTTCAGCACCACAGCCTCCTGAAGTGCCACTGAGAGTCCATGCATGAGCAGTTCTCCTGAAGGCATGCAAGGAATTCAAAGACTGAAGAGTAATCTTTCTCTCCCTCCCGCATTTCTCAGTCTGTGTAAGCCACAAACCTTCGCTGCACCCTTAAATATTAACACAGCTATTCTCTTGATATGGGATTCCTCATTTTCATAAGAATAAATGATTAATTCCAACCATACCAAGCAGGTATAACTTTTATAACTATATAAATCAGCACTGTGCCAAACCCTTTAAGAACAGTAACAGTATTCAAGTATTTATTGCACTTTATTGCTTCCTGGATCATTTAAAAGCAGTCACTGACAAACAGTCATTTACACAGGCTTGAAAGTTTGTATTGGATGTACTGAGTGTCTCTGTGTTTCAAAATGCAGCCTTACCTTCTTTTCCAGCAACTTAAGGCTAGGTCTTTGAGAGAAAACTCCACTGTTTGTCCACCAAATGCTACTATTTGCAATGGCACATCTTGTGTGTTACCTGAGGACAATTTTAACAAAATTTTGAATACTATACTGAGTACTGTTCTAACAATCATGCTGGCTATGGTGATGTTCTCCATGGGCTGCAATGTGGAACTAAAAAAATTTTGGGGCCATGTAAAAAGACCCTGGGGTATTTTTGTGGGTTTTCTTTGCCAGTTTGGAATTATGCCTCTCACAGGCTTTGTGCTATCGGTGGCCTTTAATGTGCTTCCTATTCAAGCGGTTGCAGTGCTGATCATGGGATGTTGCCCAGGTGGAACAGCCTCCAATATCCTCGCCTACTGGGTGGATGGTGACATGGATCTAAGGTAAGAGTAGTTATTCTCTAAAAAGTTCATCTATCTTTTTATGTTGTAGACTCCATATTGAAAAAGCCTATATGATATCTGTCTTTGCTACCTGGCCCGTGCATATTGGAGCCTCCTTCTTGTAGAGCCGTTTAGTTTCTATAATAGTAATAAATATAAGCAGAATAGCAATTGTGCTCAGTTCATTGAGAATTCATGAGGAAGGTAACATAATAAGATTGTGTAGAGCAGAAACTGTCTTCATTATAAAACCTTAGATTCTGATGAAAATAGCACTGATGAACACCTCTAAAATACTAAGGATTATGAAATCTTGGTCTAAGTTAGAGACACATTTTTGATTTTGTTTCTCCCAAGATCTTGGGCAGTGAGGGAAAAAAAACCAGCGAATTTTAGGAACTGAATTCTGTATATGAAGTAGTGGCTATGCAATAATTATTAATATTTCTTGAAAGAGATCATAAGTGGAAAAATATTTTCCCTGCTTGTGTGTTTTACGCAATGAATAGACCTTCAAAGCTTTTCTCTTTGGCAATTCATACAAACTGAAATCACTTGCAGTAAATCTATCTGCTCCTGGCACCCTACAGAAGTTTTCAAACTGAAGGAAACTTTAATGGCATACCAGCCACAGCCCTCCATACTGGGTACAATGGAAAAACTCCTTTGGGGCTAAGCGTGATGATCTCAGTGACAGGTAATTTGGCTGCAACTTCAAGATGCTATGAAGTCAAAAACTGTGATACATAAGGCAGCCGACATACTTCACGTAGTAGAAGTGAACCTAGCTCTTGATGCAAATTCAACGGGGAGGGAGCTCGTTAATTCAAATAGCCTTTAAAAACGAGATTTTTTTTTAATCCTGATCATTTTGTTCTAAAATAAATAGCCTCACTTCTCTGTTTCACACAGAGTAACATAAATTGCAGCATTCGTCCAATTTATCATATGTCTGTTTGAACTAGAAATGGAAAAATTAATAGAAGTAAGAAAGATGTGGAGCTAAGGTGAATAGAGCAAGAATTTTAATATTTGTGGATTAATAAGACGTTTTTTCCATGCTTTGAAAATAGTGAATTTTTCTGTCACATACGAGTGTTAATGTAATAAATGCTTTTTGATATGGTATGCAGTCGACTGCTAATTGCCAACTTCCTCACTCTGGAGGAAAGACCCCCCATGATATTAGAAACTGTAACACACTTTATTTCAATAAATACAGTTCTGAGAAATCACAGGTGGAAAGATATCCAGAACAAATTTGAAATTCTGTCCCAACCTTACTGTGGAAGAGCACACAGAGCCAAACTATGCTTTGCAGCTCTGAATGTTCAGGGTTGTGCCATTCAAATCAGGAGTTAAAATCCGAATTGATGACGCTATAAATAAGAGCAGAATTTATCTCCCATGACCCTGGGTAAGGTAAATTAAAAATACGTACAAAAGAATATTTTTCAGGCAAAAACCTTATCCTTTAAGATTTCAAAGGCTTTTGATCAGGATCTCAGGGACATAATACAAGGCCCAGATGATGTGGCATATATACTGAAGTGAGCAATGCAAGGATCTTCAGTTCTTAATAAAAGTATAACAACATAAGTAGCCTGGCTGGTTTCTAGAGTCAGCACAGTATTACAGAAAGCCTGTCCATCATATCAAACAAAGGTTTTCCTTTTAACTGATAATAGTTTATGTTTATACATAATCAGCTCTCACCATTGTTTACAGTTCTGCTTAAAAATTTCACAGGGCAAAAAGATCACAAGTTAGAGAAGGAATAGTTTTTTCTACTGCCGATATAATCACAGGGAGGTGAAGTGTGAGGTTTGTTACCTTTCTTAGTAGCTCAGTCCCAGATGATAGTCTCTAAAGTTTCCCACAGGGACACCTGTTTTTGACATCTCTTAATATTTCGCAAGACCAACCACTGAGTTGTCCCTCTCCTCTGCAGCACCCATGGGAGTTTCTGTGATCACTGAGGTTGGGGGTAGAGAATGGGCAGACTTTGGAGCAGGGTGTAAATGTTGGAAATGTAGGAAAATGTAGGAAATATGGATGTAGGAAAATTAAATTGTTTTTATTTGTTTGGGGCTTCATCTGACCTCAATGGCAGCCCATGGTTCTTTTATCTTTGCACGCAGGAACCCTCTTGCTAGAGGCTCCTACAAAGTTATATCTAATGATACTGAAGCAAAGGGTAATAGGAACCACAACTAATGCAAATATATCTGCCGTTTCTGTATGACTTGTTCTAAATTATCCTCTATCTATCTCCCTGGTTTGTATGAGGGGGTTGGTATCACCTTTTCTGAGGGCAATCCATGCAGAAGAGCAGTCAGGAGTGAGGCTCAGAAGGACATTTCCAGAGTCCTTTCACTAGAGTCATCTCTTGTGATTTTTACCACAGAATAGTGTGATCTGTAGACAATTTTATGTATGCTACTCACATTCTGAGAGTCTCCTCTTTTTTTAAGCTGTGTTGCCTTGCCCTTCTTCTTCATTCCTGCAACAGAAGCACCTTCTCATAAGAGCTATGTCAAGCTTGATAGAAGAAAGGCTTTATATTTCAAAATGAAAAGGTCTTTGCACATAGCAAGGAAGCAGCAATACTTAGGAACAGCTTTGTTAAGTAACTCTCAGCAACAGTTTTGGGGCATAGAGCAGAACTAGCCAGAAAAGGGCATTTTATTACATCATATATACTAGGTGATGAATTTTTCTGTTTTAGTCTATTGGCTTTGGAGTGAAATTTTAGCACTCCAAAATTGCTGGTAAAATGGAAAGCTCCATCTGAAATTCATCTGACACTGTCCAGTTTATTGGGCCTCTCAGAGGCCAGTCAGACAGTCAAACAAATTTGCCAACAGACCTTCCTGATGGCTTTCTGCCTGACTGCCTCACTTGCACTGACAGTTACTGTTATGTGTTTGCAGAACATGTTGATATTTTATGCTCCTTTTTTATCCTTTCTTTTTTTTTTCAGAAAAAGACATTTTTTCAGTTTAGGGGGTTTTTTTTCCTAACTTGATGTATGGGACAAATTGTCTGTAGCCAGTACCATTTCTTGCCCAATACTTTGTAAGCTGTTAAGTCATAACAAGAAAATGAGGAAGACTGTGGTCTAGCATGAGATGAACTGTCACACTAACCACTTTCTTTGCAGCGTCAGCATGACAACTTGCTCCACACTGCTTGCAATGGGGATGATGCCACTCTGTCTCTTTGTTTATACCAAGATGTGGACTGATGCTGACTCAATCGTACTCCCCTACGATAGCATTGGTGAGTCAAGTGAATCAGTACTTTCCCTTCTGACTCTTCCCTTCATTCTTTTTCTGGTAACAACCATCTTTGTACCATCATCATTGCAGAGTCACGCAGATGTGACCTTGGATTTTTAAAACATATTTATTCCCCTGCTTTCCAATAACTTCAGTGGGAATTATTCCATATCTTTTTAAGTCATCCAGAGCTCTGCAGAATAAAGCCCGTAAGTTGCTACAAATATGGTACAGATATTTATCACAAGGTAGTGCATAGTTTTTTCATTTAAGCTGGCTGGAAATCTACGTGAGACTGGGATAAGAATATAGAATAATTCATACAGGAATAGATGCTTTCTGTGGATAAAAGTGTTTGTAACAGCTTTAAGGCACAATCCTGCAAAATGCTAAGTGCCAAGGCCATAATCTAGAAAAGTACTTAAGCACACGTGGATGATTAAGCAAGTGATTAAAACTGCCGAGTCTCATTGAAAAGGTGTAATCTATGCCAGCAGGAGCGGCTTCATTTGACGACTTGTCAAAAATCTCATCCAGTTACAAGCAGAAAATGGGCTAAGTGTTAGAAATACTTGCTTCAGTGCTTTACAGAACTGTGGCCCTAGTGTTTATCAAGTCTGTTTCCATGTTGTGCTAATCTTACAAAGCCAGCACAGTCTCTTTCATATTCTTTAATTTCATTTCCCTTTGTCCTGAAAAAAAAATTGCATAAACTGCTTGCACTTTCAAAACAAATTCTGGCAGGGGGATGCCAAAACAAAAGAAGCTCTAAACTGGTTGTTGATATGGTACAGTAGCAAAACACCTGCAGATAAAATGAACATTTAATATAACTACTCACATCACAGGATAGTGTTGATTAGCATACTCAAATTTCTGTCTGCCTTTTTGATTCAGGTGAATGAGCATGTAGCTAAGCAGAATGGCAATTACTTCAACAGGTTGCCAAAGATAACAGACTCTATAGAAAAGAAAATGGGCAGCTGTGGGTAGAACGTGCATGTTCTGTATCAGAAACATCCTCCAAAGGCTTGCTCTGTAAGCCCAGCTGCTCTATACGGTGGGGTTTTTTTTCCCATTGTGAACTTCTGCATTATATGTAGCCTTATCTTTTCATTTTTTTTCTTTTTTCCAGGAATTTCACTAGTAGCTCTTGTAATCCCTGTTTCATTTGGGATGTATGTTAACCACAGATGGCCTCAAAAAGCAAAAATCATACTTAAGGTAGGATATGTAAGGTTGAACTATTACTAATTACAGACAATTTACGGAATCAGTGGCACCCCTGAAGCAGCACATCGCTATTCATAGTATTAGTATCTGACTTCATAAGAGCCGTGAAGTTCTCAGTAGAAAACAAATGAGATGCTACAGAAATGTATTGCTTTCCCCCTGCACAAATGGTCATGAGCTGCATACATTATTATAAATCATCATTATCCAAAGAGCCTACTTTTGTCTTTGGTGAGAATTAATGTTAATAATTAAGTTCACTGTACAATATAAACTGAAAACTGGGAGGAAAATCATTCCTGGAAAGAGTTTTCCTTTGCAAAGTAAAGAAATTGAAAGCTTATTCTGGATCAAATAAAAAAGTTTCTGCCTTTAAACAAGTTTACTGATTTTTGGAAATTTTGAGCAAAACTTATTTTTTGAGATTGTTGCATCTGTTTAAAAAATCCAGCAAAAATTATTCACAAAATTCAACTATACTTGGAAGATCATTTCAAATGCATCAGAACTACATTTCTGGGTAACAAAATGTCTCATCAAAATAATAAGAAAAACTTATCTATTTTTGATGTTAACGGCAATCATTTTGAATATTTCTCTGCTAGTTCAAAGTGTTTCTCAGACATATTGAGTGCTCAAGGCCCTCATTGACCACCCTTAACACTATTTTCTTAATTGTTTTAATTTAAGCTAAACTAATCTAACAACTAGTTAGTCTACCTATAATTTTTTATTCTTTCTCTGATATCAGCTCAGGAGGAGAAGACCACAAAAAAGGTCCATTTAAGTCAAATTCATTTTCCTGAAATATTTGCTTACTGTGTTTTATTTTTAAATATACTCATAGCTAGCTTACTTATGAACTTGGATACTATCAATATTGGTTTCAAAACTGTACTATTCTGTTTAATCAGAGATAGGAAAAGTTTGGGCTTGAACTCACGTAGCAAGATAGTCTACTTGCTCTCTCAGCAAACAAAAACATTTCATTTTCTTTCTTACTAGATGGGTAAACAACCCATAGTGGAGCGCACTGACAGTTTGCTTTGTGCAGGACAATGAAGCATCAAGCAAAGATTGAGCCATAGCCATCAGATGAAGGTCCGTACAGTGACAAGTGGAGATAAGAGCACAAAGGCACTGTACCAAGTGAACTAAAAGAGCTTGTCACAGCTAGACCGTGTTTCTTTTTCCTAGGTGCGTGTGGTTAATAGCTCAGTCAGACAAAAGTGGTTGTTCATTAAAATGCTCTTAAAAAGATTTCAGCCAAAGACTGAGGAAGTCAGATCAATAGGAATATGCTTCCTATATATGCTTTTTAGCTGAGAAACGGATTCTCCTAAGCCTAGCTCCAGAAGCCTGCCGGTGAGTTCCCTGGCAACATATGCCATGATGGCAGACTTGGATACACTTGGATATTGAGACACCTGGATATTGAGAAGGGAATTAGTTATCCCTTTCCTTGGCAAGTGATGGCTAGTATCTCTGCATGTTCAGCCACAGGAAATAAGGTCACCTGAGTGATTATGGCTATATAAAAATGCCATATGAACTCACGTTCAGTTTTCAAACACTATATTTTCAGCCACATTAAAGATTTACTCGTCCACTTGGCAAATAATTTCCTAGCACTAACAATCTGGTGCCTAGTTAGCATACACCATACTACGACTGACTAAGTGGGAAGAAAGGTCTGTTTTACGAGCTATTAGACTGTCTCAATAACTCTGGAAAAATAGTTCTGATCTATGCATCATTCATTGGTCATGTTGTGCCTCTGAGATTACTTTTAACGTTGAGTTCTAAGTATAGGGGAAGCTTCAAGAGCTGAGTCTTACTAATACCTGCTATAGATACCTATTATAGCTTGGTCTATGACTGTAATCACACATTGAAATAACTTGCATATCTCCAGTTTTTGGAAAATGGCAACTAATTTGTGTGCCTGTTGTGAATTACATTGCAATAAGCACTTAGTTTTATATTTAATAAGGTATTTCAGTGACTCGGTGAAAGACACTTATAGGCATGTTTGAAATTAGGTTTGCTGTCATTAAATTTCATCAAAGTCTCTTCCTCTTTTTTCCCACAGGTTGGTTCCATTGTCGGAGCAGTCCTCATCGTGCTCATAGCTGTGGTTGCAGGAATACTGTACAAAGGCTCCTGGATTATCTCTCCCAAATTATGGATCATTGGTACCATATTTCCAGCAGCTGGATATTCCTTGGGGTTCCTTCTGGCTCGCATAGCTGGTCTGTCTTGGAACAGGTATAGATTTCTCTGTGACATAGAGCTATAGTCTTATTGCGGCTGTGAAGTTTTTATTTAATGATTAATCAATGCTGAGAATACTCCCTAAACATTAGTTATGCTGCGAGGTCACTCCTTTCCCCACCCTATTTCTGCAATACTACATTTAGGCAAGACTTTTTCTTGTGCACATTTTTGTTTATGGATTCTAATTCTCTATTTCCTCCAGTCTGTCATACATCTTCCTCTTGTGTGCCTGTGTCCTACACCTCAAAGGAAGTAGACAGGACAGGCTGAACTAACCAGTTGGCTGTAGTAAAATTTCCCGTGAAGAAGCAACAGTCTACAATTTAGAGCATCATTACAAAAGAGGAAGATAGTGAGCATTACTGAGCAATGTAACACATATGTCTTAAAAGAGGAGGACAGTCCTCCACAATTGCTGAACTGTCTCAATTGTAAAAGAAGACATAAATTATATGTCTTCTAGTTGTAACAACAGTATGACTTTTGCAGTGTTTTGTGGACTATGTGAGCTGGAGGGTACTGTTTTTTCAATTATCTATTGCTGCATATTTCTTTTTTGTCTAGATTGCTAAGCAGCATAGGGATGCACAAGGATACATAGGGATACATGTTGACTGCCTGTATTATTCCCTTTAGATGTCGAACAGTGGCTCTGGAAACAGGCATGCAGAACACTCAACTGTGTACGACAATCGTACAGCTCTCCTTCAGTCCTGAACAACTTGAACTGATGTTTACTTTCCCACTCATCTACAGTATTTTCCAGTTGTTGTTTGCATTAATACTTTTAGCAGGTAAGATATAGACATTTGCCATTATAGCACTGTAAATATTGCTGTTGTTATTATTTTTATTATCAATCTCATTTGTCATGAAGTATGGAGAAAATAAAATAAGAGAGTTTAGGGACCAAAATAGTCAAATGGAAAACAGTTAAGCAAATAATGACCCCAGTTATTAGTAAACTTTGCCGCTGTGCTGTGCCCTGTACAAGAAAGTTATGAGGACTGATTCAAGATTTGGAAGGCCCCTTTTTTGCAACATAAGGGAGGGGACCTCCATCACCTAGAGCTGCACACATGAGAATACCTTGAACACAGGATTGTTATCGAGCTTCACTGAGGAAGGGTAAATGGATCTTCTTTCAGAGCCTTATACCACCCCAGAGTGGCAGGGATTACATTGCACACCCGAAACATCCCCACAAGCACAGCCCTACTAGCCAGCTAGCTCTCCCGCCAACTCTAAAGAGAACTGGCATTAATTTAATGGAAGTATCTTCCATTAGACATAAAGGCCCCTTTTCCCCCCCCATATACACCTTGTGTAAGTTGCACTACTACTAACATAACTGACCAACTAAGAGTCAGGACCTTGTCCCTGTTGCTCGCTCTTAAAACCAGTTGTGACTATTTAGATCCTAATTCCAAACTCTGCATGTCACCAGGCACCCAGAGCACTGCCCCAGGGACACAGGCTTAGAGGTGCTGACCCTTACATCTCTGGCAAGTAACAGTGTGACGACAGTATAAGGACAGGCAAACCGCTCTGCCCTACTTTGTCTCAGTTTCTACCAAACAGAGCACACTGAGAAGTAAGAATCAATCCCATGGACCCAGCCAAGAGCCCAAAAGCTGTCTAAGTTAGAGAGACAATATATTTAAAAGTCATTACACACGGCAGGAACAGGAAGCAGTCTAACACCAAAAGGAGAGCTTAAAATATATTTCTTGTAATTTTGTAAACATGCTTTTTTAGTGATGAGTGCTATTGAAATATAGTATTTAAATATAGCTTTAAAGAAACTGTCTGGAGGTGTACGAATCCACCTTTTAGCAATATACGGAAGGAAAATGTTGTATGGCAATATCATACTGCAATAGTTTCTTCAGGTCATTATTGTAATTTCTTTATTTAATACTAAATGTACATTGATTCCCAGGCTACCGTATTTACAAAAGACACCGAGGCAAAATGAAGACAGATGACAAGAAAACAGAGGAAGACGCCAAATCAAAATCAGCATCGTCACATGCTAATGGAGGATTTATATCAAATGAGACCAAATAGACAACCATGTCACTGTTTCAACCAGCTAAAAATATATGATCTGTATGGTTTACTTAAAACTTTTTTTTTTTACACGTTCTGTTGCTTTAAGGAAATATTTAACAAAAGAAGATGTTCTACTGATATTGTACAGAAAGACTGTAAAATGATTAACTTATGGAAGATTTCTATTTTAATTTTGAACATGGTTTCTGCCATGATTGTAGAATCTATTTTTGAAGCTAATTCTCTAAAATATTTAGTGTTGTATTATGGCTTATTTAAAAAAAGGCAGAATAAAGGCAGGCTAAAAAAAAGCAAACGTCTGCTAAGAAAGCAGACATTTGCATTACCAACTCCAGCCGCTGATCCTGCAGATCCATCCGCTAGTCTCAGCCCCAGCACCAGACAGAGAGAAACGTTGCAGAAGTGCCTGAACAGCTGCAGGAGTTGATGTGGAAGATCTTACAAGGATGGAGGACTTTCACTGAGCATGAATCAACCCCAAAATTAGAACAAGCAAGTAATGAAATAATGTTTCATTTAGGTCAGTCTAATCAGACTGAAGTTGTTGCACTGTAATAATTGTTTGAAGTGTTAATTTACACTAAAGCTATAATTTTAAAACAGTGCAAATTACCTTATGACTCAATTTTTTTGCTCAGATTGACATCAAGTAACAGTTTTGTATCTGCAGTCTGGGTCTTTTAGATGCTGGAAAGATCAACAGAGAGACAAAGCCCAGGGTAGGAGCCAAGAACAGTGTTAGCGTGCCAGCTGCATACAAAGGAGTGGGCTGAGTTTTTGGAGGTGTGAGAAATGGTCAATTTTTGCACTGAAAAGGAGACATTTGAAAGTGGAACAAAATTGCCCCTGATTCATCCAGGAGTGCTTTCACTACTTTTAAGACAGTATAATATTGGTTGTAGGGAGTCACGTATTTCTGTGGTTTTATAAACTCAGAAAACATGGACTTACTATGTGTCCATGACACTGATGCAGTCAATAACTTAAAATTTTTGATTATAAAAACCATAGACAGAAATAATTGTATGTAAACATACATTATTTATCTCTGAAAATTTTAGGGTACATATGGAAAGATGTCCTGAGTGTGTGGAGAAAGTTAATACTAGTCTAAGAAAAACAGTGCAGTGAATTTTTTGCAGCTGTAATTTTTTGTGGATACATTCAGTAACATTAGTCTTGTAGTTCTTATGCAAAGAAAACATCCAGAGAACTTCAGATGAAATGAGTGAGAGTCTGGCTGACCAAAAACTTCAAGAATGAGCCAACTATCAACACATGGAAACCACGCACCTCTTTCTTTGTCATATTCAAGTGGATATTTTGAGGGTGTTGTGAGTTAATGTGGCAGATTTTTTACAAATACAGCTTAAATTGTGGAATTCAGGTTCCAGACATGTAGCTTTCTACTTCTGTAGAAATATGCCCAATATTAAAGAGGATGAATTATTTCTAACTAGATGTGGGGTAAAGGGTCTTGAAATGTTTCTGAGCTTTAAGGTGCTTGAAGCTGCTTCTTTTTCAGGAGGACAGTCAGAGCATTCATAATCTCCAAAGAGGAGGTCAACACTTAGCAGGAGCTAGCAGATAACATGTCTTTTTACACAATAAAGAATAAATAGAAAAATGTAGTGAATTCTATTACGAGGGAATCGTACATGTGAAACAGCACATTCATTGAGAAAAGGATAAGCTGTTGTTTGCAACATATTCAGTGAAAAGGCTATTGCGATTATCCTGCTTCCATCAAAATATAGGCAGCAGAAGTCAGTTAGGATCGCATCTTTCTAAGAAGCGCAGCAAGCTACCACTTTTTCCCTGTCCTAAAGCTAAAATAACCCCAACATTTTTGCACATATTTTATGCAGATTTTGAAAATGTATTGAAGAATTAAACTTTGTCTTGTGTGTGCCTTTATCTTTAAAGCAACTGTATAAACACTGAACTGAACAAGGTCAGTAACTGTTTATAATTATGTCCACTGGAGTAATTTGAGGTGGAAATTGAGACTGAATCCTAACATGTAAGCCAAGTTTATGACTTTGAGATGTAACAAAAACACCTCAGATTGTGCAATATGAACATGTTTAATAATGATGAGTATTAAATGAACGTGGGATGTCTGATGTCATATTTAATGGACATTTTTTAATATATATGTGCTACCAGGGTCCCAGCTAAAGGCTGGAGGGGCTGTAGCTTCTTCAGCCACTACAGCTAAATCTAGCAAGGGTCAGGTGACACAAGCCTCATCTGCAACAAAGCCAATTTAAACCAACATACAGCTTTAGAGCATGCCAAATCTAAATCAAAATGCTGTGACTTGCTAATGTGGCTGGAGGCAGGTTATGGTGACACAACAGCTTTTAGACATCCAGCCATCGGAGCCTGGGCAGCACAGTGTTGGTCACCAGTGCTGCTGAGCCGAGTTATCCTACAGCAAAATTGTGGACTTTCTGGGGAACTGTCCCCTCTCCCCTAACGTCTCCAGACAGGTGTTATGGACTGGTGGCTATCAATCAGCCTTATAAACGCTGTGGTATGGCCTTCTTAGGCCAGGGAGGTTGATAGCCTCCAGCCTTGCAGTTGCAGTTGTCCTTGTCATAGTCAAAAGAAAATCCCTAGCTTGCAGAGATCAGTTAGTTTAACCTATTCTCTGTCATCTCCTCCAACATAAACATCCTTTCAAGGAAGGCTTTATCACTTAGGCAAAACTACTTTTTAAGTAAACTTCTACCCATTGAAATTGCCCGCTGATGGGACACTGCGGAGGTGTGTAATTTAGAAGCCCCGTGCAGCAATGTTCAGACTAACAGATATGCAACCTAATTCACCCATACACTTACTGGTAATCACTGAGGTACCAGTTCAGGCTGAGAAGCTTCGCAGTTGCCTTAGCAAGTTCTAGCTTAACACAGCTAGTGTATTTTTAAGTAAAGTGGTTTGTGTTCGGAGACTCTGGGGTCCCTGAATCTTACTCTGCTGCACTTCTGGTTCTCGAGCCATTGCAGGCAAAATGAACTGATATCTAAGGATAGACATACCCTAAAAGCTGCAATGGCAGCTGAGTTAATGCCCAGCTCATCCAAGGATCTGTGGTGTATAAGGGCTGTAAGGATGCAAAATCACACTTACCCCACCTAAATTTCTAGCCATGCATCTGTGTATATGGACATATTCCCTAACCAGTGATGAGAGAGAACCGCTGCCACAGAATTATTCATGTCCTCTGTCTCAGACACCTATTGTAGAATGAGCTGCCCACTGCAATAGTCTGTCTCTATAAATTAGATAGAGATGGCCCAGATTAGACTGAACACCTAAGTTTTCAACTTTCGGACAGAACAAAAAAGTAGGTGAGATGAAGTACCTTTTTTGTCTTCACTACTTTTCCTGCATAAAGGCTAATGTGCTCTGAACATCCACTTTGTTTCTGCTAACCCCAATGATGTCTTTAAAATTGAAAAAACAAAATTGGGCTCAAAAATGTCTTTATACTGATTTATATTTTATATTGATTTTAATCTCCTGTGAACATATAACTTATTTTTCAGCTGACCGAAAGACAGGTGGATAAACTGGTTCTGTCATCTAGAGTGTTGTGCTAGTCAAAAGAGAGTGCAGCCTGAACAGAATTAACAAGTAAATTGCTTTGCAACCTATGCTACATGAGTTTGTCATTTCAGTCTAATGAGGATATGATTTTCAAAAACCACTACTGTAATCTCTCCTAATCAGTATTATTTTTGTCACCCTCAGAAGGGAGGAATAAATTTACGTTTTGCAGTCTGACCCACTAACAAGCTTCACATATGGTGCAAACTTAAAACAATAATTAGTATTCGCTATCTGCAAAAGCACAGCTCTCCACTGCTCCTTATCTTATGAGAATGCCCCTGTTCTCCCCAGATCAACTATATCATTCACACACTTAAAGCAAGGATGGTGCCGTAGTGCCACAACCAAATGACAACTAAACAGGTCTCACTGGATTTTCCAAGACAGAACTGAAAAGCAGAACAAGTAAGACTCTACTTCAGTTTTCTACAAAATATCCATTCTGTTGAAGGAGGACTAACGTCCTACTTAAGCTAAACACTAAATTAACTTAAAATATCAACTGAAAAACAAACTGCTGGTTGCCAGGATGTTCACCAAACTTCAAACTGCAATTGCAGTATGTACATAGTTGTCAAGCCCTTAGAGAGTTCTAATATGTTTTTAATAATAGATATGGCCTGGGGGATGACTTTACTATCTCAGTTTCCATTAAATTTAACCACCTAAAGCAAGTTTCCAGTGTCAGCCTTCATCCTTCCCCCAAAACACACAGCCAATACTGTCGAGAGAAGGTAAATATATCTGAAGAGCAAGTCATCACACGCCTTAGATACCTGGTTTTGGATGGGAGGAATTCTAGCAGGAGACAAAGGGATTATGCAGAATTGGGTGCTGAAGTTCACTTGCGTAAACATAGGCACCTAGTGTGATGTGAGATGCCCTGGGTGTCCTGCCTGGCTTTCAGCTGCCAATGCAGAAAGACACAGGTGTGCTGCCTGCAGCTACCATGGCCCTGCAGCACCTAAAACAGCACTAGACATCTGTGTAGGCAACTGACTTCTCCTTGTCAATACCATGCATGACCTTATTTGCTGTGGGTTTCGTCTGATGTACACGAGCCCCTTAGCAGTCAGAAGCAAGGTCAGTACTTCATGTGAGATAATTACAAGCCTATAGGAACATCCTTGCAAATTTCTTCCCAGAAGGCACCTCCCACAAAGTATGGAAGTTCATTTGATTGGCAACTCAAATATTTCAGAATTTAGGGGGAAAAAATCCAATTCTGTTATTTCAAACTGCCTCATGGAACTGACCTAAGGTATGCCTCCTTGGTAAATTTCTCCCAGCCCTGCATCTTTCCATAGAATTGTATAACACGGGATTTTAAAAGGGCTGGGAATTAAATTCAGCGAGGACAAATAACAAAGACAAAC